GGGATATACCATAGGGTGCAGAACATACAAAAGAAACAAAAAAATCACATAGTACATTAAAAGCAGCAGCAACAAAGAAAAACCTCTTGTGTCCATGTCTTGGAGTTCATTTCACTTAGCATCATCATTTTATTTTATTTTTTGGTTGTGGGACCTGGGCACTGTCCCTGAGCTCTTCAGCCCAAAGTTAACACTCTACCTTAGGCCACTTCCTTAGCATCATCTTATATGGTGATACGTACATAATTATTGAGCTATTCTGCTCATCTGCTAAGATTATCCTAGACGTATACTAATTATTGCAAATAAGGGAAACCATGAGACCTAGGTTTCTTTAGGTCTGGCTTATTTGACTTAATATGATTTTTTCCAAGTCTTTCCATTTCCTTACTAATGGGACAGTGTCATTAAGTTTATATTTTAACACCATTCTCCAATTTGACTAGATTGACAATCAGTTATTGTTTTATAAAGAAAGATTTGCTTTTATAAAGCAAGATTTACTAGCAACTCTCTGCTAAGGCATTGGAATACATACTTCCTTGTCCCTAAAAACTAAATGAATGTTCTAAAATGTCTTCTTTTTTCCCCTCTTCCCCATCCCCTCTCTATATTTTTCCAGTCGTGGATAGAACAATTTACTTAAATAGGTTAGGTTAGAGATAGACCTCCAGTAAAATGGATGTTTAAGATGGATTAAACACAGGGCCTTCATATGTAAAGAGAGAGGAGAGAAAAGAACTGGAGAAGAGGGTGAGACACTCTCCTCTTTACATATGATAGACTGAGGACTGCTGACATTCAAGTTAGACACACAGATATGAGTTGCAACCTGCTGTGGTTTGAGTGTGTTTTGTCCTTGTCAAACCTCAAGATAAAACAGTTTCTCAATGCAGAGTGTTAGGGAATGGGGCTTTTTTTGGGGGGGGGGGGATGATTAGTTTCTAGGAACCACCTCTCTTACAAATGGATTAATGCCTTTATAGATTAGGCCTTGCAAGACTAGGCCCCAAGACACAGAGTGAGTTTCTTCCAGATTGAGTTGTTACAAAGCAAGGTGAGGCCGTCTGCTTGGTCCCTGGTGCATGCGGTCACACTTCGTTCTACTTCTCGGTCATTCTGTGATACAGCACAAAACCCTCCTGCCACCTGCCAGAACTGTGTGCCAAAACAAATCCCTTTCTTATACTTTTCTCAGCCTCAGGTATGTTATTCTAGCAATGCAAAATACCTTAAGAAATGCTCCTCATTCTATATCATTTGAGAGTCATTGGCATTAGCAAGTCTATTTTTAAAGTCATTCATCACTGAAGATTTAGATATTCACCCACTTGCCCTTCAGAAGGACATCGGGAGAAAGAGGATTCCTATGAAGGGAGAGCCCATTCTGTAGCCAGATGGAAGATGGAAGATGGAGAGGTAGCCACCACAGGAAACTTGAACAGCCAGAAAGAGCCCAATCAGGTACCAAGGTTCCCATTCCTACTATCAACATCTTACCAGGGAAGAGTTCAACCTATGAAAAGGTTGGAAAGAAGCCCCTATTTTTAATCTGTCTAGATTTCCTTGTTCTGGGCATTTAAAAGATGATCATCTTAAAGTAGTTGTACCAAGGAGTTGCCATTCAACAAGACAGTTCATGAATACAGTGCATCTTAATCAACATCTCCGTTTTGACGTTCTTCCCCATTCCTTCCTCCCAACTTTATCCCTTGCCTCATGTTCTGTACATTTTAATGCAATCCCATGAGGATCACAAGGATCTCTGGAATTTCCTAGAACACAAAGATGTGATCTTTCACCACTGGCTTCTTTCTCTTAGCATAATGTCTTCAAATGTCCATGTTGTAGCAGGTAACAGAATTTAACTCCTTTTTATGGCCAAATACCATACTCTTTTATGGATATATCACATTTTACCAATCCGTTCATTGATCAGCTCATGGACATTTGTGTGGTGTTCACTTTTAAGCTTTTATGAATACTACTGTTATGGACATGTGTCCAGGTTTCTGTATAGAGGACATGGGTTCATATTTCTCTTGAATTATTAACTTATGGTGGAACCACTAAGCCATATGGTAATTCTGTGTTTAACTTGAAGATCTTCTGTTTTTTGAAGAATAATGTTACTTTATATTCACAACGCCAATGAATTCCTTCACATCTCAGCACTTGTTATTATCTGACTTTTTTTGTTTGTTTAACTATGTCGCTCTGGCTGGCCTTAAATTCACAATCCTTCTGCATCATTCCCAAAGTCTAGGATTACAACTGTGTGCCACCATGCCTGACTATTTTCTGACTTCGATTACAGCCATACCAGTGGGTAGGACGTGGTATCTCACTGTGGTTTTGATTTGCATTTCCCTAGTAATAGTAATGGTAATGATGATAATGACAATAATTTACCTGATAAGTAATGATGCTGAGCATCTCGACATGAATTTTCTGGCCATCTGAATGTTTTCAGAAAAATGTTTTTTCAAATCTTTTGCCCATTTAAATTTGGGCTCCTTATCATTCTTATGGTTGAAATACTACAAATTCCTTTTTGAAGATTTGACTTTTAAGCACAACTCTCTTCGTTATTAAGCCGTAGTTTTAAACCTGGTGATAGTTTCAAAGGTTCATAACTTACATTTACTTTGCATATTAGTTTAATACATACATAATTGATGCATTGAAACAAGACAATAAGTATAAACAAGAATGTTAAAAACATTAAAAAATAAATAAAACATCACAATGCCTACGTGAATGTTCTTCTTGAGGGTGTTTAACATAGCTCTCAGGGCATCATTTCATCACCTGGAGAATCTAGCCAATTAATCCTTTCGAAAGTTTCTCTCTAGACTTTTCCTGGGTGAGAAAGTCTCAGACTTCTACCAGCAATGCAAATTTTCTCCTCTGGATTCTTTTTTAGATTCTCTCCCTCCTCCTCTAAGCTAAGAATCATTTTCACATTTTTTTAATGCTTAGGGAGAGAAGAGGAAAGAATAATGCTAATATTTTGTTATTGGTAGAAAGTATATGAACTTCAAATTTCATGATTCCCAAACATGTGCATGCTGTCTTGGGCTGCTTTTTAAAAATTATTATTATTGTCAGTTGTAGGGCTTGAACTCAGGTCCTAGGCACTGTCCCTGAGCTATATGCTCAAGTTGTAAAATTCTCTTAACTTTGAGCCAGTGCCACTTCTGGTTTTCTGGTGGTTAATTGGAGATAAGAGTCTCATGGACTTTCCTGCCCAGGGTGGCTTTGAACTGCAATCCTCAGATCTCAGCCTCCTGAGTAGCTAGGATTACAGGTGTGAGCCACCAGCTCTAGTTTCTTGGGCTGTTTTGATTGACAGCAACAAAACCGAGTAGCTCCTAATGAGACATAGGGACTCCAATTCCTCCTATCAACTACCTAGCTCTTCACACACAAAACTTTCCCAACCTTTGCTTCAATACTAGATAAGAAACTAAGCTGCTCCTTGTTACTGTAGATGAACAGCAGAAACCCACTTCCTACTAGCAAAATCCAATGATGATTATCCTCCTGGTTTCTCATAAGTCTCTACTTCTTTCCCTCTTTATCTTTAATAAACATTGATGGGCTACCTTGATTTTAGATTCATTTAGATTTGGGGATTTGTGGAACAATACACTTTTTTTAAAAAATAGGCAATATCTTCAAGAAGTCATGGCTTAACCATATTCAAACTATTGATTTAATTATTTCCAACACAATTTTATTTCTTTTGGATAACATGCCACAAATCGATTTCTAGGCAGTGCTGTGGGGATTACAAAATAAAACAGCAGCAGCAGCAGCAACAACAACAACAAAACCATCAACCCCAAACCAAAGATAAAAAGCCCCTACTTGCCCTGTATAGGATTCCAGTCTAGTCAGACTTGTCACCACAACTTTCCCCCAAGGTTATTGCTATGATTGTAATCCTACATGAAGTGGTCTTAGATATTTTCTTGCAAGAACGGTAGGGCAAAAAAAAAAAATCATCATCCTTCCATGAGAAGAAACCTAGCAAAGCAATAAAGGAATAGCATTCTGTACCAACGGATAAAACCCTTGGTGGTTAAGTTGCATGGACTTGTCTTCCCAGAAGCACCGAAGGTTCTTGACGGTTTTTTGCTGAGTGTTCCTCTCTGAATCCTACTTCAGTACCCCTAAATGCAGCGTTAAGACCTGCTAATCCTTGCTGCCTATGTGTAGAATAAATATTCTCCTCGCTGGGCCGGCAGAGCCGGCTACCAGCCCTAAAAAGGCCGACCAGGCGGGCGGTCACTTTGCTGAGTCTCCCCCTCGCGCAGGCAGCCAGCGGCCGGGTACCATTTTCGGAGCGGTCCCTCCGTGCCTCAGTGGCTTTGGCATATTTGAGAAGTGAGTCATCGCCTCAAGTCAGGTTTGCAGGGCAGCCGGGTCAGAAGCTTTCCTGCACTTTCTTTCTGATCCCAGTGGCTCCGGTCAGATTCACCCTCCCATGACACCCAGCCCTGCAACCGCCCCCCCTACACACACACCCTGCGACGCTTAGAGCTGAATGGGTGAGACCCCTTAAAGTTAAGACGGGCCTGGGGTGCAGCGGATCTCATGTAGGACAGGCCGCAGCGGGCGGGGGGCGGGGGACAGTCCATAGAAACCTCTGCGCCCCCCTTCCTTCACCCCGCGCCCCCGTTGGTGTGCGCCTGGGGCGCGTGGTTATAGGCTAACCCAGATACAGGGAGCGACCTGCGCCCCCAAACCCAGGTGCTTGCACCCCCATGTCTGCAGGTTCTCTGCGCCCCCCAGCACCCCGCGTCCCACGCCCGGCCCCGGGCCCGAGCTGGCTGCCTTTATTCCGGGCCGCGTCCCCACCCCATCCAGTGCGCGCAACTTGACAGCGAGCGCCGACCCCCAGGCGCCCCGATACCCGCACACCCTCACCCGCTTCCTTCCGGGGGGTCTTCCCCAAGCACGCAGGCCCACCCCCCTATCCCCTCCCCCCATACCTGCCTCGATGCCCCGGGGGGGGGGGGTCCGGTCCGCGGCAATGCAAATCCGGGCTGGGTCACTGGCGCCCTCCCCTTGACCGCCTCCTCCTCCTCCTCTTCCTCCTCCTCCTCCTCCTCCCCGATCGCGAGTCCGTGTCAGTCACGCTGCTCGCGGGGAGAGTCGCCGGCGGCTTCCGGGAGCTCCAAATACAGACAAGGCGGGGGGAGGGGGCCAAGCCACGAGGGTGGGGAGTGGAAATAAAGGGGAGCAGGAGGAAAGGAGGGGCAGATGGGCCGTGGGAGCAAAGAGAAGATGGGGAAAGGCAGAGGCAAGGGAAGAGGGCAGCCTGCCAAGCGCGAATGCAATGAGTTCACCTCCTCAGGCAGTGCTGCAAAGAAGTCTAGAAGAATCTGGAGGCTCCTGGATGAAGGATGCACGGATAGGTTGGGTCCCCACTGACATGAATAACCAGGCTGGTCTGTCTCCCAGGCCCCTGTGTAAGGACAGAAGCCCAGGCAGGCGGGGTTAGAGTTTCTAAATCTTTTAGTTGTCTCCTCCTGCACGTCCATCTTGTGACAGTATTTTAAAAATTATTCTACATAAAACAACTTCAAAAAAGTTGTCTGATTGTTTAGAAATAAATAAGACCGAATCCAACCGACTTCATCATAAAAAAAATGTGTCTCTGTAGCCCTTTCCCATGTGTGTATGGATTATCTGTACAGAATTGGACGACTTTCTCTTTTGTTAATATTATTAAATGAAGAATATTGATTTTTCCCCAGTTTTCCCTGGAGTTTATTTCAACCTGATAAACTGGATACAAAGCTTTTCATTGAACGAATGCCAGGACAATAATTACAGACAAGAGAGGAAAGGGGGAAGGAGGTACAGATCTTAAAGCAAAGTCACCAGACAACCTACAGAAATCTCTGAAAAGCCAGTAATGACTGTTGTGGCTTTATCATAATCCCAGTTGTTCTGTTGGTCCAGTCTCACTGGTGAATGGAAATGGAAAACACCTAATGTTGTTGTTGCTGTTTCTTCCTCCTCCTCCTCCTCCTCTTTTCTTTTTTTCTTTTTCTTTTTTTTTTCTTTTGAAGAGCTTTTCCTGGTCCCCAAGGAGGATGGAGCTGAGATGGGGGAATGAGGTGTTTCTACAAACATGTCTTTCTGAAGTCAAAAGTTCCAAGGAATATGTTACCAATGAACTATAGCAGTCGGTATTTTATTTTTTTAATAAATCTCCAGTAGAAAATTATCAGTAGGTAATGTTAATCACTTGTTGACTCAAGAAAGATTTTCCTACAAATAGTTGATGACTTGTTATGTTGAACTGTTGTGGGCATTGGCCGTGCAGACTCTTAAGCATAAACAGAATAAAATAAAAATATAATCCGCCCTCCATACCCACCATCTCCACCTCCAAAGATTCAACCAATCACAGATAAAAATATTTGAAAAAAAGAGTGTGTCTTCAATGAAGATGTACACATTTATTCTTGCCACTAGTCCTTAACTCTATAGTATAACAACTATTGACTTGATATTTACATTGGTTTGAAAATTGTAAGTAAACTAGAGATTATTCACAGTAAATATGATGCATATAGATTATGTGCAAATATATTATACCATTTTATATTAGAAATTGAACATTAGGTTGTGGGTATTTGTGAGGATCCTTTAACCAGTCTCTTAAGAACATCAAAAGAAGAATGGAATTGCTAAAACACTTTATCACATACCAGGCTCTCTCCCAAGCATTTTCCATCTATTAACTCACTATCGTTATGAGATGGGCACTATATAAAAAAAAAAACACAACAGGGAGGATTAGTTGTTTCCCCAAAATGACAAACAATATTGATTGGACTGAACACTTTGGCTGGATGTTTTGCTTCTAATCAGCGTGTTTTACAGAGAAAAACAAGAATGGAGAAATACTATTGGATAATATCCTAATAGTTAATGTAAGGTTAGATATCTGAACAATTGTGATGGAATTTGGTGTCTGTTCACCAAGAATTAACCTAGAAATGAAACTGAAATAGGTCACTTCTGTTGAGCTAATGTTATCAGGGATGAATAAACCAAAAAAAAATGGTAGCACTCTGTGCAATCATTCTTCCTATTCACCTGAGATTGGTTCCAGGACTCTTACAGATACCCAAATCCTTAAGTTTTCAAGAACTTATATAAAATAACAAAATATTTGCACATGATGTACTTTCATTCTCCTGTATATATTAAACCATCTTTAAATTACTTTATAATGCCTAACATGATATAAAAAGCTATATAGGCCGGGCGCTGGTGGCTCACACCTTTAATCCTAGCTACTCAGGAAGCTGAGACCTGAGGATCATGGTTCAAAGCCAGGCAGGGCAGGAAAGTCCGTGAGCCTCTGATCTCCAGTAAACCACCAGAAAACCAGAAGTGGCGCTGTGGCTCAAGTGGTAGAGCACTAGCTTTGGGCTGAAGAGCTGAAGGACAGTGCTTAGGCCCAGAGTTCAAGCCTCACGATCAACACACACACACACACACACACACTATAGTAATTGTTGTATTGTATGGTTGAAGAAATAATGATGGAAGAACCTTGCACAAGTGCAAATTTTTGACCCACAATTGTTTAATCCATGGTGGAGGAGCCTGAGAACCTATAAAGCTGATGCTATATGTCAGGGTCAGCTATGAGAGACGTTGGCAGGGCAGGTGGGTAATATTCTCTTGAGTTCATAAGGTATGGATAAATTTGAGATATTGTAAGTCTTGCCCTATCTCTGCAAAATACTAAGTCATTTGACAAATGTTAATAGCAAGCCATTGGGTGGTGGTAGTGGTAAGGGAGGTGAACACATTCTTTCATTCTTGTCTTCTCAAAGAGGGAACCCTGGCAATTCAAGTCTTTCATCCTGACCTTCCTGGGTTCCATTGGAAAAAGAGCACTGCAAGTTCATATCAGAGAAGGGAAATATCCTAAAGATAAATTTAACGTAGTAAAACTTATTGCTATGTAAAGACCTTCTTTTAGACAAGGTCTTGCTATTTTGCCTAGGCTAGGTCAAACTTCTAGGTTCTTGTGATTTTTCCACCTCAATCTCTACAGTAGTGAGAACTTGCAACCTGATTTTTTTTCCTTTTTCTGCATTATGAATTGTGCTGAGATTTCATTTGATGGAACAGTTAGAAAAGATGGCTATGGCCACCTTCAGAGCAGCCTTACCCTCCTCCCTCCACCACTGCTGATAGGACAAGCCTTCTTTGGCTACAGATTGGTTTTTAGTACAGTACATGGATGACAACAGCACACTGCCTCTTTTTTTTTTTTTTGTCCTAATGTGAGGACTTAAAAAGTCTTTTTATTATTATTCTAAAGGTGATATACAGAGGGGTTATAGTTACATAAGTCAGGTAACAAGAACATTTCTTTTTGGAAAATGTCACCCCTTCTATCGCTTTGTCCCAGTTTTTCCCTCCTGTTCCCACAAGTTGTCTAGTGAGTACCACTGCTGTATTTGCTTACCCTTGGTTGCTCTGTGTATATGAAGATTCTTAAGTCATCACTGAGATGGCTACCCACAATGCTGGGGCTGGAGGGAGGAATGAACTATAAACAGAAGAAATCAAATATGAGCAATGGTAGTTTTCCTGTCAGGACTTAATCTCAGGCACTTCAGACACTAAAAATGAAACTTAGCCTTTGTCTAGCAAAGAGATTCGTAAGCTCAGATCTTTGGATAGACTTTTTTTCTTGGCTTAAGTTGGTAATCCTAGGTACTCAGGAGGCTGAGATCTGAGAATCGCGGTTCAAAGCCAGCCTGGGCAAGAAAGTTTGTGAGATTCTTATCTACAATTAACTACCCCAAAGAAGAGCTGGAAATGGGGCTATGACTCAAATGGTAGAGCACAAGCTTTGACCAAAGAAAGCTCCAAGATAGCTCTCAGACCATGAGTACAAGCCCTAGGACCGGCACAAAAAATAATTTTGATGTTTAGTTTTTTTATACCAATTGTATATATTTATGGGATACAATGTGACTTTTCAATACAAGTATACACAGCAATTAATGAGCAGATTGGGGGGTAACTGGTATACCTATCATCTCAGACATCTACTATTTCTTTGTTGTGGGAACATTCTAAAGCCTCTTTATTGGCTATTTTGAAATATTCTTGTAAGCATCAGCCATTGTCTTCCTAAGGTGCTATAGAACATTAGAAGCTATTCTTCCTATCCTTTGCTCCCTGTACCCGCTAGCATTCATTTGCATTAGTGATTTAAGTTTGTGTCTTAATCTGAGAAGTTTTTAAACTATTTTCAAAAGTGATCTACAAGTAAAAGCTAATCAAAGTCTTATCATTTCCCAAAGTGAAAAACAGAAAAGTGGTTCTTTGCTGCCTTTTCTTTGTGAGTCTCTGCACATGAGCAGCTCAAAACCAGCTGAACACTGTCTCTTGGTCTTTTACTTCAGTCACCAGCAGATTCACCTAAGCAAATTGTGCTTCCCATGTTTAACCCCTGGGGACTCTCTCCCTTTCATAAGGGGCACCTTGAGATGGCCTTAGCCTAACCCCAGGGGAGATCTGGCTAATTCCAGATACAGCAGTGGTCACAGGGGAAGGGTTAGAAGCATCCAAAAAGAGGAAGGAGCTTGCTGGCCACTCAAACCACATTGTGTGTCTTCAGTAGCCCACTCTATGGATAAGATTCCCCCTGCACAAACATTTCATGTAATTAGACATGGATAAGTCAGCCAATTTTTACAAACTTTAAAAAATTCCACTGACTCAGTGGCGCTCATTTCATCCTTCTTTGAAATTTACAGTTGATTCATTCAGTTGGATGCTAGTTCCCATGACATTTCTTCCTTTTTGGCATCCATTATCATCTCCTAGTGGGTTGTTGACAAGATATCTAGGTACTGGGAACACCCAGCTACTCACAGTGTCCCTAATCAGGGGCACTTGTTTGTGTAATAAGAGAAATTCCTACTTAAAGTCAGGACTTAGAGAAAGTCAGGACTTAGACCATACAGGAAACGATCTAGTGCCCAAAGTATTTTTTAGAAGTCCTAATTTT